CCCGTTCTTGTAGCAGAACTCTCTGTATGCCCTACCATTCTCGTTCTCGCAACAAAGGTTTTTCCTCCTAGGGTCACACTTCTTGTCCTCTGCATGGTGCCGTCATCATCTCGATGTATTCCTAGTCCACTATTTACGTCCCCTCCTATTACGATAGCACATCTCACCCCAAGTGCATCCAGCTGCTGATCTATCCACCTGAATACTCTTTCTGCAACCAATGAGTGCTTCGCATCACTCATCGGGGCGAGGTAGATACAGAAGGCCACGAAGTCAACTTCATTCGTCTGAATGCAAATGCCGCCCACCCGCCCTCGTATTTGCACTGGAGGTACATATACAGTGTGCAGCGCTCGACTAGGAATCCGATTGTGTACCATGATCGTGACCCCGCATGCGTCCGACACCAACTTCCCTTTCCTCTTCCCAAAGTGCACTCCCCAGTGTCGTGCTTGTGCATGTTGTTGCGCTCCGTGGTCGGGTTGTGCCACTTGACATGTCCCTGATACTAGCACCACGTCCCACGATCCCAACTCACTGGATATATCTTCGCGCCTCTCCTGCGATGCTGACAACGGGTTGTACGTGCACACTCTCATCGTCAGAACAACTGCCAAAGTCCTCCCAACACTTTTCATGCATGCAGTATGCCTCCTGCAGGAGGGGGAGGTGAGGTACAGTATCCTCGCTCCTGATGGGGAAGGTTTCCTACCTTGGAGCGGGCTGCCCGCGCGCTGTGCACGTCTGAGCCGGCAGCTGAGGAGGAAGAGGAGGAAGAGGAGGAGGAGGAGGAGGAGGAGGCCCGCACCAGCTGAAGGTTCCACCACATTAAGCATGCATCAAAAACGAGAACCAACAAGTTAACCATCATCCGAGGGATCAGCCTCCTCACGCTTTCTCTTGTCAAGGGCCCGCTTCCCAAACGCTTCAGCCTGGGCGCGAGAGGAGAGAACACGAGAAACGCAAGGCCTCGGATGAGGTCGGCACCGGCCCGCTCAACAGCAGGGTCTGGCCCAAGCTTAGGCACAACTCCGACGTCAAAACTTCGAGGCCAAGAGTGTGCCAAATTCGTTGGAGAGCGAGCCCGCCGCTCCGACTCGACACCTTGTGCGGGACGGGTGCTTGCCGAGCAAAATCCAAATCAATTGCCTCTCGCGGCCAGGGCACGGGACCCCAGATAATCCGACGCGACAACACTTCGACCCCAGGACCTCAACAAAACACGGTGCCCACTGGACCCCCCAGGAGAAGATACCACTGGGGCTTCGATACAGGAGTGGCCTCTGGCCTTCAGGGGCCTGAGGAGCGCCCACGCCTCCTCCCCAAGAGGCGGTGGGGGCGATTGGGTAGGGCAAAGGCCCGAAGTTACCTTATCACGCTCCGCTGCGGCGCGGCCCAGGCCAGGGAGACGCCAGCATCCTGCAGCGCACTGCCAGCCATAGAGGCCATTCCGATGACGACGGAAAATACTCCCGCCCCCCGTCATCACTCCCATCATCTCCGAGGACATCAGGCCGCTTTTCAAAAGAGCCGAGGTCGACATCGCGAAACACATCTGACGGGAAATGGTCGAAAACACCAGCGTCCGCGATCATGGCCTCCTGACGAGCCGAGAAGCGAGCCACCTGCCCTAGGGAAAGAAAGAAGAAGGACATAAGGGTCAGGCCCCCTTTGATCAGGCAGGGTCGAGCTACGAATCAAATTCGACTGCAACTGTGGAAGAAGAAGGAGGATGCTACAAAGGCGGGCTGGGTGGGAAGGCTGCGCCAACCGGGAGGATAGAAGCGGCTCGCACACGGTGTGTTGGTCGCGCACCGCGCAAAGCCAACGACACCAATACTCGGGCGTTGTATGTACAGATGTACGCGCGGCACGAATGAATGCATAGTACATGCGTCCTGCATGCATGCGGCAACACCACAACGCTTTTTTTGCCCACCACAGCGCCAAACGTACCAGCGGACACAAAAGTAGATTGCGGGCACCGAGTTGCGCGTGTGAGCACCACAGTGCGCCAGGGGCGACCGCATGGCGGAATGGCGCAAGCCTCTTACTTGAATGCCGGCAACAGCAGGAACTGGAAGAGGACAAGCGGAGCCTTCTTGCGGGGCTCACCACTGACCGCGGAGGCCCTCAGGACTCGTCATCCACCTCCTCCTCTTTCTCCTCCTCCTCCTCCTCCACCACCACCTCCCTCTCCACCACCTCCTCCCTCGCCAACTGCGAGAGAGCGTGATCCACCGCCGCTTTGCTGTGGAAAATTCCCGTCACCCCCCCTTCCCTTCTTCCTCCGGAACCCGGCCCCCCCCTGCTGGACCCCCCCCTTACCCCAGGCAAAACCCCCCCATCTTCCACCCCCCCCCTCTCCGAAAAACCTGGAAAGTCACTACCGGTTCGAGACCCCCCCCCTCTGGCGGAAAACGGTGTGGGTCACTACCAGTTCGAACCCTCCACCCCCCCAAAAAACCAGAGGGGGGTCACTACCGGTTCGAAAACCTCCCCCCTCCCCCTCCAGAAAACCGGGGGGGGGCCACTACCGGTTCGAACCCTCCCCCCCCTAGAAAACCCGGGGGGTCACTACCGGATCGAATCCCCCCTCCTCGAAAACCGAGGGGGTCATTACCGGTTCGAACCTCCCCCTTCGAAAACCGAGGGGGGTCACTACTGGTTCGAACCCCTCCCCCCCCCCCCACCACGCTCACCGCCAGCAAACGACTCCTGGGTCCCTACCACCGTCCGCACCACATCCCCCACTGCTGCCCCCAGCACCACTGTCCTCACCACCGCTGTCCCCACTGTTCCCACCACCGTCCCCACTGTCCCCATCAGTGCCCCCACCACTGTCGCACCGTCCCCACTGTCCCCACCACTGTTCCCACCACGGTTCCACTCTCCCCACTTTCTCCACGGCCCCAACCACTGTCCCACTGTCCCCACTGTCCCACTGTCCCCGCCGCTGTTCCACCGAGCTGTCGCACTGTTCCCACCACTGTCCCCACTGTCCCCGCCACTGTCCCCACTGTACCTCTGTCCCATTATCCCACCGCCGTCCTCGCCACCGCCCTCACCTCTGTCCCCACCACCACTGTCCCCTCCACTGTCCCGCTGTTTCCACCACATTCCCACTGTTTCCACACCACTGTCCCCACCACCACCGTCCGCACCACTGTCCCCACCACTGTCCCACTGTCCCCACCCACCATTGTCCCCGCTGTCCCCACCAGTGCCCCCACCAGTGTCTCACTGTCCCCACTCCTCTCCCCAGCATTGTACACCACGGTCCCACTCTGCCCACTTTCCCCACGGTCCCCACCACTGTCCCACTGTCCCCACTGTACCCACCACTGTCCGACTGTCCCCGCCGCTGTCCCACTGTGCTGTCCCACCGTCCCCACTGTCCCCATCACTGTCCCACTGTCCCCACTGTCCCCACCACTTTCCCCACTGTACTACTGTCCCACCACTGTCTTCACCACCGCCTTCACCACTGTCCCCACCACTACCGTCCCCACCACTGTCCCACTGTCCCCACCACTGCCCCGCTGTCCCCTCACCACTGTCTCCACCACCACCGTCCCCACCACTGTCCGCACCACTGTCCCACTGTCCCCGCACCACTGTCCCCACCAGCACAGTTCCCACCACTGTCCCAGCATCCCCACCATTGTCCCACTGTCCCCAGGAGCGGGAATCGTTTGCCGGCGGCGACAGGGGGGGGGTCGAACCGGTAGTGACCCCCCTGGTTTTCGAGGGGGGAGGGGGGGGGGTTCGAACCGGCAGTGACCCCCCCTTTTCATGATGGACTGGGGGGGGGGGCGGGGAGGAGTTCGAACCGGTAAAGACCCCCCCGGGATTTTCGAGGGGGAGGGGGGGACGGGTCGGGAACCCCCAGTGACCCCCCCAGTTTTCCGCCAGCAGCGGTAGAACACGCTCTTTCCCAACTGCGACACAGAAGGCCCGCTCGCTCCAGCGGGCCCCTCCCCCTGCCCCTGCTGGTGCCCCTCCTCCCCCTCCTCCTCCTTTTCCTTCTCCTCCTCCTCCCTTTCCGCCTCTTCGCGGGGCTAGCCGCAGACTCAGGAGGCCCTCGGGACTCGTCCTTCAGGGCGCTCGCGGGGGAGGCCTCAACAATGGTCGTGGCCAGGCGTGCATTCCGCCTGCTCTTCATCGTCCTGCCCCTCCTCCTCTGATATCATTTTGCTGCCGCAACGCTTGCGTACACCACAACGCCTGTGTACACCACAGCAGCCGCGTGCACCAGAGCGCCGGTGTACACGACAGTAGCCATGTGCACCGCAGCGTACGCATACGCCAGAGTGCCTGCGTGCACCACAGCGCCCGTGTACACCGCAGTGCACTGGCCCTGCGTGCACGTCGATACCTACGAGCGCCAGAGCGCCCATGTACTCCTCACAATGTCCTCTGGAAACTGCAAAGGTTCACGCTTGCGGCCGGTTTGCAAGCGTTACCGTTACCAGGGGGTCTGGGGTAGGGGAGCGCATGTTATCCCTGGGGAGATAAAATAACGATCTCAAGACCTCCGACGCCGTGGCTCTTTTGCAACGTGGGCCCTCGAGCTCCCGACTCAATCCGACGCACCGTTCACCTTTTTTGTCGCGTATCGTCTTCCCAAAATCATACAAAGCCTTGGCGCGCAAGACTAATCAATGTTGATCCTCTCTCCCCCACGGCAATCACCTGAAGGGGAACGTTAAAGGGGAACTGGCCCAGGGGAGACACATCGAACTGGAATCGACGACGCATCGCAAATAGACTGGCGATAGGCCTCAGATAACGACGTCTCACATTCCTGGGAGGGGTGGGCTATCGGTTATCGGGTCCCTATGGTTGATGCGCCCCCCCCTGAGCCGACCGCCTCCAACTAGTAAAGTTGTCCCCGGCCCAACCATCCCACCAGCCCGCAACGCTGGCAAATGTGGGCCCGCTGGGCGGCAATGTGAAGCGCGACGGCACCGAGGGCTGGGGGGCGGCCGGCGCGGCACCGTGCTTCAGGCAAAACTTCCTAAAACTCTGCATCAGCAGCTGCACGAGCGGCAAGCACCTGCAAGAAAACAAACAGTGCGTCCCTCCAATCATCAGATCAAACAAGCATGACTGCGCTATCCCGTAGACGCGAAGCGGCAAAACAATACTGCCCCGCAATTTGCGTCGGACGAGAGACTGACTGGCGACGAACACTTCGCAAAGACGAGGAGGAACAGCAGCAGCAGAGGCAGGGAGCAAACGACTGCGTATACGTAAACAGTTCGAAGCTGGTCGGGAGGCCCAACCAGATGCTTCTCTTAAGGCGAAACCCAGATCCAACTTTACTATACCGTAGTAACGACAGTCCCAAGAGCAGGAGAGAAGTCGCGGGAGCGACGAGCCAGGTCAAGCGAATCTGTTGTCGGTCTCAATGGCAAATTGTGTGCCTCGCGATGGGGCACAATCATATCTTGGCGGCCGGCCGCTTGAGCACAAACGGCCGCGGACAAACGCTCGCTACCTCTCGCCTTTGCCCATCCTCCTTCGGAATCGGGGGGGGACGAAGCGTGAACCCGCCGCTAGCTATACAGCAAAACGCTATGATACACAAGGTCGGCAGCATCAAACGGGCTCAATTAAGGCAGGTTGGCCCGCATGCAAGCTACCTTGCAAGTAGGTTACCCTGCATTTAACTACTCCTCAGGTTGCTCAGATGGTCTCGTCTGGCCAACCATGTCGGGAATGTGTGTCGTTTTAAATCATGCGTGAAGGATTGCGCTTCTCCCATGACTTATGGGGGTGCGGATGGTTCCCAAGACATCGAGGGTTGCCAAGATATCTGAAACAATCTGAAATACTCTGAACGGGAAAGAAAGATAGCGAACACCTTTTCAGTACATGACAAGCTGCACTCCTGGAAAGGGGTCGACGGACCCCCCTTCCCCTTGAACCCAAACGGTTAAGGAACAGGGGTCTCGGGTTCTCAGCTAAGCACATAGAGCACTGGAAAGCGCACCCCGCGCTTTCAGATTCACACTGGTCACAGTCCACTGCTTAGAACCCAATGAAGTCCTTGAGTCTCCATGCACTTGCACTGGCTTCTCGATGGTCTGGGCCTGGTAGACCTCCTGTGCCTCTCCGATCCACCGATAGGCCTCGGGCTCGTAGTTGAGGTCGTCCTCCTCGTAGTCGCGCTTTAAGGGTGCCCGTGCAGTCCATCTCGTACAGGTCCAGTCCTGAAAAACAACACTCCACCGAGCAGGCATAAGTATGGTCGCCCTTCTTCTTCCTCATCTGTCGTTCTTGTTCCCGTCGGCGTAGCACGATGCTGTCCGCGGTGATGCCGTACTCGCCCAGCTCCAGAGCGTGTCGAAGTAGCGTACTCTCACCCTTGCGCTTGGTGAGTCGGTCGGTCAGCTGACTGGTACCCTCGATCCATCGTAGGTGAACCTGAGGTCGCTGCATTGCTGAGCGCATGATGGCCACGTCGATCGCTGCCCTCTTGTCCTCCGACAGTCCCGCCTTGGGGTTAGTAACATGATCGTACCCGCCCCTGGAGTCTGTCACACTGATGACGGGAAAACGACCAGCGAGCAGGTAAGGACGCATCAGATCGAACTCGGAGTCGACGATCTCCAGCAGCATGGTCCTGATGAGCTCCGCCATAGCCATGCCCTCAGAGATGGCCAACGTCTCCGCGCCAAACTGGTGCGCACATTTCCTCTTCAGCTTGTGGCTCTTCCAGGATTGGATGGAGATGGTGGCCGCTTCGCCCTCCAGGATCTTGCGCTGCGTAGCGAACACGATGCATCCTGCTTGTGAAGCTCCATCTCGTGCATTGGCCCAAGCAGCGTCATTGAAGGCGGCGAAGGCCAGCTCGTGAAAAAGGGATGTGTCGTACCTTGAGCACTACTTCGCAGAACTCCTTGGTCATGCGGCCAATACGATCTGCCTCCAGCAAGTCGTCCACGGTGAGATTCGGCACCTTGCCCTGCAAGAGAGAGACAGGGCCGGAGAGACGGGGCGACTCTCCCGCGCCAGGAACGCAATGGAGCCGCGCAGGCTCCGTGCCTGATGCAACTCTGCTGGCGTCACTGGTGACTGCGGCGTCTCGCGCCTCTCTGTGGCGATGTCGATCTGTTGAATATTGGCGGAGCTCTGACATTGCGATATCGTGATCTCCGTGTTGTCGTCGTTATGGTCGAGCTCCTTGCCCGTGTACTTCCCCTTCTTGAGACGACAGGCACCGAAAGGGGAACTTATGGTGCAACTTCCTGCAGGCCTCGTCGAACTTCTGGTCGCCACCGCCCACGATGTCGTCCACCGTAAGCCCCATGACGCCGTGCAAGCCCTCGTCGTCCCTGAGGTAGAAGACGCAGCCGTCAAAGATGGAGCACTGAAACCCGATCTCTTTGGCATAACTTGCGAGAGATGCCAGCCATTGTACTGAAGCGTCTCCGAGTCCATAGACTGCCTTGAGTAGCTCCACCAGTGAGCCCGTTCCACGTCTGGTATACCCGTCCGTGGTAGCTCCACAAATAGCCTGCCCTGAGGCCTGTCCAGTGGGTCTCCTGCCGTAAAAGCCGACGTGATGTCCGCGAGCTGCAGCGTCCACTTGTTGGTGCACAGGATCTGCAGGATGAGGAAGACCGAGTCCTTGCCAACAACTGGGCTGTAGGTTTCGAGCTCCAGCAGGTCAGGGTCGGTGTGTCCCTGGACGGTCCAGCGTGCCTTGGCCATCCTCCAGCCGCTGCCATTCATGAAGAGCAGGGACTTCTTGCTCGCGTCGGGCTCGTTGCGGTCGCCGTCCTTGTCCGTAAGCACCCACCTGAAGCCCATGATCCGAGCGGCCAGTGCGGGATCCTGTCAAACTCGTTCTGCTTCTTCGGGTGGAAGAACACGTGCTGCGCCCGCCTTCTGTATGTTGGCCCACTCCCTGCGCTTGGCTAAGATGGACGGCTGGTACCTGTAGGTGTTCAGGAGAGACTTCTCCGTGACCTCCTTGCGTCCTCGTTGAGCTGCACTCGTCAGCAGAGCACTGGTGGCGCCCTGAGCCTTTCCCCTCCTCCTCTTCTTGGGAGGAGCCTGCTGGCCCTTCTGAATATTATCCTCGATGGTCGCGATACGCTGCGCCACTGGCATCGCAGCGTCAGGGTTGACTAGAGCCTTCTTGCTGGTGATCGGCACGTCGTCGAGGTCGTCGTAGCACTGCGGGCCCATGAGGATCGGATCTGCCCTCACGTCAGAGGAACGCTCGATCTCCACCGTCGGCGGCTCCAGGGAAGCCGCTGGTTGATCATTGCCTGCTGGCTCTGGAGGTGCTGTCGGAGGTACGTCGTCCAGAACCTCCTCCTCCGCGGGTGCGGGCTGCTTGGTCAGGTCCTCATACGTGCGCCTGCCGCGGCTATCGGTGCCCACCTCCTCCTTCATCGCGTGGTCGATCTGCTCCCAGGCGGATATCTCACCCTCGTTGGCGTGTCGAAGCTGTTCTGGTGAGCATTTCAGTAGCCCGCCCTGGTACGAGCACCACACCGTGCTTGGCAGCTCGGTCTGGATGGCTCGTGCTGGGCCATGCCAGGAGCTGACGGGTAGTTTGTCCGTACTACTCCTCCAGAAATAGCAGCGACCTCCAGGCTGAAAAGTCGCGCCCCTCTGCGGTCGAGACCTTATATTGAGAGCTCGTCGCCGCTTCTCGGTGCACTCCGCCTCGATGCTCGCTGCCATGGCTGCTTTGCGCATGCCGATGCTCCTGGCAAGCTCGGTGTCTCCGTTCATGGCTCGAGATACCGTCGCCAGACTCGGCGAGCCCTCCTCCAAGATCTTCTCTGGAAGTTGAAAGGGCCTTCCAAAGACTCTCTGATAAGGCGTGAAACCACCGCGGCGCACACTTTCTCCAATCGCAGCGTTGACTGAGTCGACCAGCTCGTAGAAGTCGCCCCAGTTCTTGGCGTTGAACTTCTGCCTGGTGCGGTAGAAGGTCTCCTTCCAAGTGCCCCCAGCCCTCTCAGTCTTACCCGCCTGCCATGGCGATGTAGCACTCGCCACCTTCACCTCCGCGCCGTCTCCTTCGGCTGCATCTGGAAACTCGCCCGTTGAGAAACCCTTCTCGCCGTCTATCACGATGATCCTGGGAGTGCCGTACGCGCGCTCCCAGAAAGCCCGATAATGTCGTCTGATCTGCTGACCTTGTCTACTCGGTAGCGGTATCACGACTTGGTGCCCCGCCCCGCGACACACGATGTTGAGCATCGGCACCTTGGTGGTGTTCTCAAGACCTAGGACGAAGAATATGTCCATGCCGATGACGCCGTTGAACTGGTAGGTCGTGGGGGCCTTGGCCGGTTTGGCCATCCTGGGACGCTCATTTGCCTCGCAGCTTGGACAAACCAGATGCTGCGCGGCCTCGATGAAGGCCTGGCGAGCCCTGCCATACTTCAAAACCATCACAAGATTCTCGTTACTGCAGTGGCCCATGTTCTCGTGCATCTTCTGCCCCTGCTGCTTGACGTGCGGATCCGCGCCCCTCTCGTCCTCGTTGTTGGAGACGGGCGCCGGACAACGAGACACGCGCTGCAAACTGGAAATTTCGTCGTCCATCTTCGTCTCGACGGTCGCCAGATCGCTCACCTTGGCCTTCACGATAGCTCGTGCCGAAGCCCCCGTAAGCTCCTGCAGGGGCATCGGCGCGTCCCCCAGCTTGTTCTGCAGAGAGCCCTGCGCGAACTCCTGACTCAGCATCTCCCCGTACTCTGACGCCTGGCCAGGCAGGTTGGTCAAACATGCCCGCCCTCGTGCATTAGCCTTCCCCGAGAAGACCTCGGGAAGTCGCCTCAGCTTCTGGATGAGCGGGCCATCCCATTATCGAGAGCTCTCCTCCTGCTCGTAGTAGAAGTACCTGCCGTTAATCGCCTGCTGGATCGCCATGTCCGACATGAAGGTCAGCACGTCCCTGCCGATCTTCTCCTTGAGCTTCTTGTTGTAGATGTCCTTGGGCGGCTTGATGATCACGAGTAAGGGGCTCGCACTCTTGATCATGTTCCAAGCCTCCTTCTGCCCACGTCTCGCCAGTAAGTGATGTCCTGCCACGACCATCACTTGTTTCCGCTCAGTAGTTTCGTGCAAGGGAACCCCGCCAGTCTCCATCATCTCGTCGCCATCGCGAACCTGCTCGCCCAGCTGGCCGAGGAAGGCGGTGCACTCAGGAATCGCGTCCTCCATGGCCTCCCTCATCTTGTCCGTTTCGCCTAACACCTTGAGCGCCTTGCTGATATTCCGCTCCTCCTTCTCGGTCATCTCGTCTCCTGGTCGCTGATGTCCGCCCCGAGGTGGCCGCGCAGATTCTCCACCAGCTGGTTGGTCATCGCGTTGGCGTTCTCGTCCTGCAGTAGCTCCTTCAAGGCGATCGGAGCCTTGCTCCGAGGTGGCTGGTCCAGCACCTCGTCGCCCCGCGTTTCCCACTCCTCCTGCTCGGTCGTCTCCGTCAGATCCACGAATTGATCCTCCGGCTCTGCAGGGGGGCCTCCCGACTGCCTCGAGATCGGTCTGGATCTCGATCTCGGTCCCCTCTTGGCCCTCGGCGCGCTGCTGCGTGTCGAAGGCTCTGGTGGAGTTTCCGACGAGGTCCGTGCTATGAGTGCCGCCGTCTTGGCCCGGCTCTTTTTGGCGTCCGACTGCCGCTCCCTCCGCGGCGACGCCTTCTGCTGCATGAAGGAAGATGTGTGCTGCGAGCGCTCGTCGCATGACGTGGAAATATGGAAGTAAGTCCAAAGACGTTCTGCTCGTTCGGCTCGAGCCTAACTGCTGACGGAACTGGACGATGTTGTCATGTATGTTGTTCAGGTGATTGTTGTTGATGCTGCTCTCGTCATTTATGCTGTTCTCGTCATTTAGGCTGTTCTCGGACCTGCTGTTGGTGCTGTTCACGGCATTTATGTTGTTCACGTGCTTGTTGTTGATGCTGTTCACGTGCTTGTTATTGTCCATGTGTTGCTTGTTAACCTGAGCCTTCTGTTTATGCATCCCTCCTGATAATCCACCTCAGCGCAGTAGTCTTGCTATGTGTGCTGCTTTTTGTCTGGTGCTCTTGGCTGTCCAACTGCTTGCTGCCTGTTGTGGTTTCCAACTTCAACACTTGAAAACATACAGCCTCTTTCCTTCTGATCCTCACTGTCGTAAAAGAGGTCCTCAGAGATGAGGAAGGTGGAGGGATGCATATATTCGGCCCTGGAACTGAAATCCATCGAAACCTCTTTCGTGCACAGTGTCCAACCTTCAGGCTTGCTCCACGGTTTCGTGAAGTTATCCAGCTGCAGCAAGAAGTGTTCCCCTCCAGCGTGCGCCAAAGGGAGTCGCAGGCTCTGCTCAGGCAACTCCAACTCAAACTGAAATGCATGGAGGGACGCCTCCAGCTCCACTACAAATGTCTTGGACAACAAAAGTGGAGCCGCTCCCTGCACCAAACACACGAAAACGAGACCAACGAAGTCGCCCAGCATGATCGGGATGATCGCCCCGTCCGTCGCCGTGCAGATCTGGTCATTGCCGAACCTGTACTTCTTGTGGTACGGGATCGTATGCAGCGTGATGCCATGCTCCTTCTTGCAATGTATCTCCCACTTCGCGTAGGTGTCCAGCCCCATCATGTTGAAACCGCAGGCCGTGTCAAGTGCTCCCCAGCCCAGCCTGCCCGACGTCTCGATGTCAATCGCCAGGTTGATGTGCTCTACGAGGATCGACCTTGACGCCATCTTCGCCTCTGTCACGATGTAGCTGCAAATCTCGTCGTCCTGCAGCACCGTCATGGCGACGAAACCTCCCGTCGGCATATTCTTATTCTTGGGATTGTCGGGGCACTCTCGCTGGTGCCAGTGTCCAACCTTCTTACATGTGCCACACTTCGTGCGCTTCTTGATGTCCTCTATGTTATCATTGAGCTTCTTGCCGTCCTGCAGGTTGCGAAATTCCCGATTGGTCTTCTTGTCCGCCACGATCTTCCGAGCCTCGCCCCAAGTCCGCGGCTTCGTCGGTGGTGGGACGATGGCCGCGAGGCAGTCGAGCGCCTCGACCTCCGTCAGGATCCGTTCTCCATCGTCAGCTGGTTCTTGTCCGCCGGGCGTTCCATCGTCGTCTATCCCGAGCAGGTTGGCCATCGCGTCGCACACGGCACTCTCTGTATCACCGCCCTCGGACATCAGCGGCTCGTCCTCGTCGATTCCCGCCAAGTATGCCCCTTTTGTCGGTGCACTCTTCTCAGTCACCGTGCTGTCGTCCGCCATCCGCTTCAGAATCGAGACAAACCTGTTGACATTGTAGTCGTAGCCTGTCTGGATGAGGACCTGGTTCCTTTCAGTATTGGCCAGACCCGCTCCTCGCAGTAGCAAGAAACCCATGGCCGTGTCGTTCAATGCGTTGGGGAGTAGCCGTTCTAACTCTTTCTGTTCCGCTCGTACTCGATTGGTGAACTTCATCAGCGTCTCTTCTCTTGCCCTAGGGGCGGCAAAGAGAGTCTTTTTCCAGCTGCTGGAAGGTCTCCGCGTCTGCCTCTGGGAACGCCAGCGTGTCCAATGCCAAAATGACTGCTTGTAGACCGCCTGCGTACTGTACCGAACCTAGTCGTAGGTGCCTCGTCGCCGTCGCCGCCTCCTTCGTCAAATGCAGTAGCAGGGTCTCGCCCTGCTCCTCGGGTGGTACCGCCGTCAATCTATTCCATCTGTCTATGGCCAACCTCTTCTCTGGCCACTCGCTGAGGTCCTTTCCGTCCCACGTCGGGCAAAGTGTGTCTTTTCCTTTACGATCTCCACGTCGTTGGTCGTGCTGCTCGTGCTCCCCGCCTGACTCGAGTCTTCCGTGCACCTCTGCCATCGTCTTCTTCACCTGCTCTGGCGTACCGAACCCTCTCGACTGCGCTGACCTCTCCGAGTCCGTCTCCGAGCCGCCTGAGCCGCCCTTGCCTTGCAACTCGTACTTCCCTGCCGAATCCCCTGAGTCGTCGTCCTCGCTTGGCCACTTCCAAGCACCCCATTTGGACATTTGACTCCGCGTTCGACCCCAATAAACTGAGCTGCCGTTCCGCGTCTCCCAAGGGTCCAACGAGTCGCCCTTCATGCTGTCGTGCTGTCATCCTCGCTGCCCTCTCGTTCGTGACTGTAACCATCTCAGCTTCTCCCCGTCGCCCTCATGGTTATCCTGAGGTTCGTCTTCGACACGTTCCCACGTGACATCATCGCAACTGCCGTCGTAGCCGTCGCTCCGCTCACCACGTGTGGATGGTTCCCAAGACATCGAAGGCTGCCAAGATATCTGAAATAATCAGAAATACTTTGGGCGGGATGTAAAGATAGCGAACACCTTTTCAGTACATGGCAAGCTGCACTCCTGGAAGGGGGTCGACGGACCCCCTTCCCCTTGAACCCAAACGGTTAAGGCAAAATTGGTCTCGGGTTCTCAGCTAAGCACATAGAGCACTGGAAAGCGCACCCCGCGCTTTCAGATTCACAAGGAGTATGTGTCCGTCGATGTTCCCCTAAGTGTGGCCATCCGCAGTCATATCGCGAGTGTCACACCACTGCGCACAGCGCACGGTACCTCGCTCCATCATTTGCCGTATCCAACTGATGTGTGCCAAAGTGTGTACACCCAGTCGGCTCCTTCAGGTCTTTGCTTGACAAGGACTTGAAGACGCATTCTGCATCGATGGTGACCATACTGCTCAGGCCGCCCATCTCAAGTATATCCTTCACTTGAGTGAGTGTCAGGGGCCCTGCGTGGAGGTCGTGCGGAGTGACGATCGTGGGATAGCAGTCCTCCGACTTGTGGGCTGCTGCAATATGGCAAGGCACGGAGATGCGACACTTCAGCTAACAATACTTCCACGCATACAAAAACCCTTCGCACGACAGGGCATCAAAGAAAAACAGCCACACGTCCGATGCCCCTGTAGTCTGAAGTGACTATGGTAAGTCAAATAGCATCCGATTCCATGGGAAGCGGATGGCAAATAGCGTCTGGCATCGTACTGAGGTGGTTCAGTAAGAGAAATGGACGGATAAGATAGGATAAGATCGATGTAACGATCTTTCCAGCACATAGCGAGCACAAGCAGTGTCCGGGCAAATCGGGCGCGCGTGCCTTGAGCCAAAGGCAACGGCGCGCGAGCTATACTCCCGATCCTATATAACATCTCCCAGAGAATTACCCTTAAAGCCGGGAGGGGAGGAGACGGTGAGTATAGCCGCGCAGCCGTTAGGCTCTACAAAGGCCGCGCGCGCGACTGTTTGCAAGAAAAACAGTGCGTACAGTCTGGCCTAACACCAGACTGTAAGGCGAGTTTCCTCGCAAAGCATTTCACGCAAATACGAGATGGCCCCTTGGACATCAAAGGGCTATCGGCCCGGCTAGAGGTAAGCCAAACAGGCTATACCTCTCCGAAAAAAAAAAAGGTATTAAGGCAAAGAGCCTGAATCAATATGAACAGGCTCGTTACCAAGCGTGAAATGTAAGGCTCGTTTCCGAGCACCTAGAAAGGCGCCTCTGTATTAGGCGCCCATGCTGGCAAACTGGACCGCGGGGGCAACAATGACAGACTAAAACTGTTTAGACTTAAGCTTGTTTCTGTCCTCGGGACCCCGAAAGGGAACAAACTGCTTCACGTCATACTTAAATGACTGAGTGCCTGACATCACTTCCAAAAGCAGCTCCCGATCGATACTCCCCTTTGTATGCCCATCTGCGGTCATATCTCTAGTATCACACCACTGCGCATTATGCACTATACCTATATCCATGAGCTCACGTATCCAACTGATATGTCCCAGCAACGTCCGTTCCGTCGGTATCTTAAGATCTTTGCTGGATAACGATTTGTATACAGACTCAGCGTCTATGGCACGGGATACTTTAATAGCTAGGCCTCCAACTTCACGCATATCTCGTAGTTGTCGTGGAGTCAGGGCCCCTGCCTTGAGCTCGTGGAGGGTGATGAGCGTAGGGTAGCACTCATCAAAGTTGTGTGCAGCTGCAAGTGCCTCAGCGGCATAGCTGGACCTCACCTGCAGCCGATGTGATTTACATATTCCGTCGCAAAGGTGAATGACGGATTTGCCTTGAGGCGAGTTTCCCCGCCGTAGTACGTAAGCCCCGCGTATGCCGTAGCCCATGGCCTCATCGTCTTCCTCCCCGGTGAGCTTCCGATACCCCGAATCACTGTGTATATCAACTTCGTTCGTCGGTTTCATCCGAGGGAAGGTGATGCGTTTCGGGCTGCTGATCAGCTTTCGCGTCACAGCATTCAGTCGTCTGACTTGTAGGTTGGTGGGCCCTTGAATTTTCTGGAGAGAGACCACATACACCATGAGCCAGACTTGAGTAAGAAGGGCATAGGCGAGGGCTCCTCGCAGGCTGACGAACATGTCGGTGATGAGTTTGGTGGCTTTGGCGTCAGCCGCCGCTCCCGTGAGTTCGGGGTGTGTGATAGGACGTAGTTGCTTAATGTACTCGTCCTGATCCATGATCACATCCCCTTGGTCATTCTTGGTGTAGCGAACGGCGCAGTTCGTATAGGAATGTTTGTTGAGCTTGCATTTACCAAACACCTATTCGACACGTTGTACATAGTCATATACATTTTTCTCTAGGCCTGTCATGTTGATGTCGTCGACATGTTTTGCTGTTAACAGATCTTGACTGAATTCAAATTCAGGATCATGACTTGTCGGCGTAAGGCCTACAGCTCGTGTGGTCGTACGAAGCTCGAGGGAGAACGCTCCTGGGGCGTCCTTTGTACCCGTCCCTGGCTTGAGGCACCTGCGGCAGCGTCGGCTTTCATCGTAAGAAGAGAAGCCGGGCAATGTACGAAGTACCTGGGCGCTTCCTGGTGGAAGAGTGAAGCAAACCATGCGAGTTCCCTCGCCGGTGGCATGAGCAAGTTCCTCATAGGTCAAACCCTTGAGGAACGCTTTTTATCGATATCCATGGATGCTAAGATCCATTCTGGATGGCATGCCGCCTCACTTGCCAGGAGCCTCTGGGACTGCCTTCGAGCAGTTCCTGAGGAGGTTTCCACATCGAACGCCTCCGTGCCCATAAATCCACGAAGGACGAGTCTGAGACGGATGGTTTTAACGTTCTCGGTGCCTACCTTCATTAACTTCCACTTATATACAGATCTGGATGTCATGATGTTGGCAGCTTTAGATAGGTCATATATTTCAAAGCACCGGTTATCAAGCCAGATCTTGAGTTCGGTGCACAAAGCTTCACTAACCTCTTTAGGGTGTGCTGCTATGTCGGCTTTGGTGCGTAGGTCGTCTTCCATAACTACCACAGCACGTTTAGCAGCCGATGATACGTACACTCTCATCGCTTCGACCATGCCAGTGTCGAGCTGTGCAAGTTGAATATGATCCAACACTGCCTTTGTCATTTCTGGTGTAAAACATAACTCAACATAAGGACCACGTTCATCACTGTCAAGAGAATAACCCTCGTCAGGTGTAGTTGAGCATAAAGAGACAAGACAAGGCTCTTGTGGTTCAGGCTCGTCTCCGAGCATTTCCGACACTACGATATCTTCTTCGTCCACGGATGCTGAGACCAGAACACATTGGTCGGACAGCATAGCTGTTGGGACGCAGTAGAGATGATCGTCGGTAATTTTTGTGGGATGAAGGTCCACACGTAACTCATCGTACCACTCCTCCATCATCATAGTTTCTATGTCATGTTCCTCGTTTTCTTCGTAGATTGTACACAGACGGCCTTCACTTGGTGATGAAGCACCTGGGGTGTCTGGTGGAGGCCTGTCTCCAGGCTGGTTGTGTTCTCCACACGTGGTGCCCGAGTGCTGATACTTGGCAAGGTCGTCATGAAATCCTAAGGAAGGAACATGTGACGTCAAGCATTGGATGAGTCAGGAGTGAGTGCTACCAATGATTTGAGACATGTTCAGGCCAGTGCCCACGCACTCATAATAGTGGAAGGCTGGGTTGACGTCGTTATGGTAGTGGATCAGCGCAGTCCCGGTGGCGTACTTTACTGCAGGTAGATAGGACACACTCTTGGCCAATCTAACTGCTACTACATGTTCAACTCGGAAATAATTTCGCACGAGATACTGCAGTGCAAGATGCACGCGCGGGTGAAACTTGCTGTCGTCCGAAAGATTGAGGTTCCCCTTATAGTCTGGAATGTCGCCGAAGACTTCGGCAGGTTTCCCTGCACCAAGGTGTGCCACATATGCAGGGGCGGTTTGCATGGCCACGTTGTCCATGCCAAGTTCCCGGGTAAGGAGGCATTCAATGTATAGCGTGTGACGAGCATCAGGATACATTATAATTACCTCACGAGATCCTGCCTTGACGACGAGGCGTCCTCGTTCAGGCACGTTACGGATCACAGGAAATGGGCCATTCCAGCCTCCATGATCGTCCTCAGTGGCAGTGGGTCGGTGATAGTCAACCAAGTCCCCTGCTGAGTAAAGGCGAGCACCATCTGGGGCCGTTTTAGCCCTGAGAGCACGATTTGTCTTAGCAACCGCCGTGGCTTGAGTTATTGCTTCCAGGCTAACTTCCCTCACGCGGCGTTCTCGTTCGTGACCTGACGTCTCGGGCCCCCTAGGGAAGTCAAGGGTGTCGAGGTCAGGAAGAAACGAGGCCTGTCACCCAGTGTGTGCTTGGCATGGCGATACTCCGTTGTAAAACGTGAAGGCGCTGGTGACAAAGATGCCTTCAGCCAAAACTCTAGTAAATACAACAGGGATGTTGTGTCTGTTCAGCTCTTCCTCAATCATGTGGAGAGTGCCCCTGAGAATGCCGTTACGTGACTCGATCGAGGTCGCGCGTTGGCCAGGCGCTCGGACACGGAGTGTTGCACCCTTGTTCGCCACCATGGCCTTGGCAGTGTCATTGTTCAGGGCGCCTTCTCCATCTGAGTACAAGACTTTGAAGGGTCCATGATAGGCAATCCAGCAATAAGGGTAGGCGTCGAGTATAGTGTCA